TGTGTCAGTGACACAAATTTTATTTTCTCAAAGACCCTATACTTTTCTTCTGGGCCCCAGAAAGATTCAGAGCAGTCTTCGAAAATCGTTCCAAGAGACAGTACAAAGGCAGAAACACTAGAATCTTCCAGAGTTCACAAAAGCATTTCTAAACCAAAACCTCCTGCCTTCTTCTTCCTTGCCATAGACTGCTATTTAATTAATAGACATTGTCTCATACCTCTTACATTCTAAACAGATATCTAAGAGCAAACTGTAATGTTTGGGGGGGGGTCATATTTAACCTGAATTAGAGTCAGGAACAGTTCAACCAATTCTTTCTAACTCTCTATGACATTTTAAACTACAGATAGACAAGACATTTTCTTTTCCACATTTAGCCTGGTGAAGAACACCCCACAGAAAAGGCATCTACGAAGGAAACAACAGAGACTAAAAAACTTGATAAAATGATTTCAAGGCATGTTTCCCATACGTAAATTTTGCTTACACTGATTTTTTCAGCATACAATCAATAGCACAAACACAAAGCACCAAAGGCATTTCAAAGACACAGGTAATAAGCTGCATTTACAAGTATATCCCCCACTCTTTTTTCCTCTCAAGTAATATGATAGCTTCAGTCTTCTTGGGGAGTAGTGGTGAAGGCATTTATGTTTCTGGCTCTTTTAGGGAAGACACATAATTTAGCAGTAATGTTAACAATCCATGTATTATCCATTAGTAATGTCATTTCCCTCTGCTTTACCCTTTGTAGTTCTTTATGTATTTAAATGCTCTACCTGAAGTTGTTTTAAAAGTTTAAAAAAAAAACAACAAAAAGTTAAAGAACAACACATTTCTATTTCCAAAATTTTTTCATAAATATATATATTTTTTAAGATTTTATTTATTTATTTGACAGAGACACAGCAAGAAAGAGAACACAAGCTGGAAGAGTGCAGGAGGGAGAAGCTGGCTTCCCGTGGAGCAGGGAGCCCGATGCGGGGCTCGATCCCAGAACCCTGGGATCATGACCTGAGTGGAAGGCAGACACTTAACGACTGAGACACCTAGGCGCCCCTCCATAAATCTATTTTTCAATGTTTGTGTTTCTATGTAGTGAAATAAATATTTAATGTTGGTTTAAAAAATCCCCTGTGTTTTCAGGGTCAACAATGGTGACTTCACCATATAATCTGATTTTCATAAAAATTAGCCAAAACTTGAAAATAAACAGAAGAGATTACTAGGTATCTTTCAGTACAATGCTGTGCTCAAACCTTTGAATACTCTCTATTGAATGGGCTATGTTACAAATCTGTAAGATTAACATTGAGATTTTTGTCTGGTACAGATGCAAATAATTTCATATCAGTGGAAAAGACAATCCAAAACTTACTGTTTCTATTCCTATAGGGTATTAACTAATTTTGTATCTAACCCAAGAATCTTATCTTAATATTCCTTTATTAAGTTGTCTATTAAATACCTACCTCCTAAAATTTTCATATGAAGTAGTTTTAACATTAACTTATGAGTTCCCCTATTAGGTAATAAGTTGAATCAAAATCACTGACACACGTTCTTTATATTTGCATGAGTCATGATTTTACCTTTCAGAAAATTACACTTCAAGTTTTAGAGATTCCCCCAAGATGCCCAAGTAGAATCTGATAGAGCCAATTAAACTACATTGCTCTTTTCACACACACATATAGATATTCCTTACATAACTCTGAGCTCCTAATTGCTAGCTACCTCATCTATATAAACCAAAACCAAAAAGTTTAGAATGTTCAGTGTAGATGGTAAACACCTTCAGAGCATGGCTTTTATTCATCTTTATTTCATCTTAGTTCCAGCATGGTGCCAAGTACGTAAAATGTGTTCAATAAATGTTAATGTCAATTATATTTCAATTTAAAAAATACCTGGATAAAAATAAAGGGAAAAAAAGTTAAATGAAGTATTCCACATGTTCAATGAAGGAAAAAGCCAACTGGAGGAGAAAAATCCTAGCAGTCCAATACTACTACTACTACTACTACTACTACTACTACTAATCCTAGTAGTCTTTGTAACTATCTGTTAGCTGGAGGAAGGAAGCAAGCCAAATTCTAGATGCTTTGACTGTAAAGACAGAGCCTCCCTCAAAATGGCAGGATTTCTCATTGTACAAAGGTATGGCTGGCAGGTACATACCAGAATGTAACACATCCTACATAGGAAGAGTGAACCTTGAGCTCCTTATGAGCAATAACTCTTAGCAGGCACCATAAACCTAGATGTTGCAATACCACAAATACCCAGATGCCACAGAACTGGACATAATCCAGTTATTATTAACACCAAAAATTTTCCAAAAATGTCTTCCATAGGAATATATCTCAATTCTGTAATAACGGTAAATTAATTAAATAGAAATTGCTTTTTGAATTCAGTTCACCGCAAAAGACCAAATTTTCTTAGATGTATTTATTCCAGAAGCAAAGGATCTATGAGAACTGTGGTACAAGACAATACAGATCTACAAGACACCTGAGCTCCAGGTAAACAAGCACAGCATATAAATGCAAAATAACAGTCTCAAAGCAATGGACTAGGATACTTGTTCTGGCTTTGTTTCCACCCTAACCTGAAGAAGTAAATCTGTCTCTGTTCATGCAGGATTATTAGGGTCAAAGCTACCTACTGAATAAATTATGCAACACACATTCAAATACTATTTGCTACCAGAAAGTACCACTAGCTGAGCATATCATATCCCCCTTTACTTTTCAACTTGGGCCAGAGTTCATTATCACTACTTAGAGCACTTGCTTTTCTTTCCCTCTTCTTGTAGAATCAGGCTGCCCATGGAAGTCAAGTCAATTAACTTTAACACCTAGTAGGCCACTGAAATGATAACTATCCCTAGTTACCTCCACCACCAAGTTCTCTAAAAAGACATGACTTACTGTTTGGCCCAAGGGAGGCAATATCTCCTTGCTTGGAGGCAATATCTCCTTGTAAGAATTATGAAAACGATGGAAAATCTGAAACTCTGAATGCATGAGGAAAATGTTCTCACCTTTAAAATATGCTTCTTCCTTTCATTTACAGAAATTTGTTATATGAAGATTTATTTTCCAAATGCAGTCTTTTAAATTAATGTTTATTTTTTCTTTATCATTTTAAAAATTTATTCTTGGTTACTCTGCACAAAATGCAGACAGTACTAACCCCTTGCATCAATGTCAATGGAAGCCCATGTTCAGCAGGCATGATGTCTAACCTTGC